TTTCAGATCCACGGGTATAATATTTATTAAATATTAAAATACAATTTTACCTTCAGAGTGGACATGTTATTATGTCTTCGAATTTGTGCTGTAGACATTTGACATTTTTTTCTCAAATAATTGGTTAAAACAGCTGGCGATTCCAATAATTATTTCCTCTTTTTCCTTCTCGTTATAATATATTATTATTATTCTTCGTAGTGTATCCTATTTAAGTTATTAATACCTGGGGTTTTTTATTTTTTATGGACAATATCGACGACCGCCGTATGTGTTATCTTCTTTTGTATCATTATTATATTATGTTTGTCGTTGGTTAATACTACGACGTGTATTTTATTTGTGCATTCAGCGAATTTGTTCACATTATGTTACTAAAAATATAAATTCACTACACAAATTAGAAAACAATATTAGCTATAGATAACACTTAAATTAGCCATATATGTATATAACAGCTTTATTAACCAAAATAAAATACAACAGTGATCTGCTCACTCGAGTTAATTTCATAACGACACAGTTTACTGGCAGAGTATAATATTATTGCATTCGCATATATATTATATTATTAGGGCCCGGGACTTCTACCGAATGGTCTGAGAAATAGATCAATTTTGATATACAACTTTGAATTACATTATAATTTCGCGCGCCCGGCAACGGTCGACCGCGGCCAACGACGTGGGTCGTTCATTCCGCTCATTTGTTTTTGTCCTGTTATCTATCTCTCGCGTGTGCCGTTTAACGCACAGCGGCCGCGTCTGTTGTTATTTTCCGTTTTTAATCAGTCAGATCAATTTGTAATATTTTATAATTATTGTTATTTTGATATATTTAAAGTTTTGTTTTTCTTTGTTTACTTATGGGTGTACAGCCATACTTGTAATTATAAGTCAATTAGGGTTTAGGACTGGCCAGACAGTCCTATGTATTGTCAAATCAATTAAATGTTGTTATCTGCGATAGCCAAGTATTTTTTATAGTTGGTATTTTTATTATTATTAATTTTTCCCGCTCGTCCGTTCTAAAGGCGTCGGGTAAAGCGTCACCCCTGCCCTTTCAATCTGTTTTAAATACGATTGTCATATTTCTATTTTGTTTGTATTCTATGGGTAATACCGACTAACAGTTGATAAACCACGGATTTATTCTAAGTTTGTATCTGTAGGACATCATTTTCCTAAATATACAATAACAAACGTATTTACCCGTATTGTAGTAGTTTTAACTTTTTCGTTCCATTCCACAATCACTATTACTTACTGCGTGGCTTGTATTACACGGGGAAACTACTATAATCTATAATTCGGTATGAGACTACCCTACCTACCGGGCAATTATTGTATATATTATAATCATTTGGTGGTCCTGAAAAGGACCGTTTTAAGGGTTATTTATGAGAGTTTTTAACAAACTATGCCTTCTTTTTGGGCGCTGCCGTCTTCTTGACTGCCACCTTCTTCGCCTTGGGTGCCTTGGTTTTGGTGGCCGGCGCTTTCTTAGCCTTGGCCGGAGACTTTTTCGGTTTCGCGGCTTTGGGTTTAGGCGCTGCGGCTACCTTTTTCACCTTCTTGGCGGCGGGCTCGCCGGATTTCGGTTTCTTGGCACCGGTGCTCTTCCTCTTCTTGGCCGCTCCGGGCGCCTTGGACACCGCCGCTTTCTTGGCGACCGGCTTCTTTTTCGGCGCTACCTTCTTCTCTTTTTTTACTTCGGCGGCCAGTTTGAAATGGCCCGACGCTCCGTTGCCCTTGGTCTGGACCAGCTTGCCGCTGGCGACGGCCGACTTAAGGAATTTGCGGATGAAAGGCGCCAGCTTGGCAGCGTCCACTTTGTAGTTGGCGGCCAAGTATTTCTTGATGGCCGGCAACGACGATCCTTTTTTCTCCTTCAGTTCCTTGACGGCTGCGATCACCATCACGGCCGTGGTAGGATGGGCCGGTGCGGCTTTCTTCGCCTTGGGAGCGGCGGACTTCTTTTTCGGCGACTTGGCCTGGGCCGGCGACGAGGCGGCTGGTGCTGGTGCGGCGACTGCGGTGTCGGTCATGGTGAAGCGGTTTGAAATAGACTCTGGTACTCTGGTAAAATGAACAGGAACGGTGTGTATAACTCGCGTTTGGCCATCACGCCGTCTATATACTCGCCGCCATACCGACTAGTAAACGTTTACGGAATCGAATTTTCCGTTTTGACGTGATCCCGTTCCGTTTTATCTCGTTTTTTCCACTCGAAAATCACGTAACGGCGACAAATCTCGTTCTCCTTAAAGCCAACGTTATAGCAAATCCGTCGGTCGGTCGAGTTTTCACTTAAAATCGACGGCCGACGTGCCGCAGGAGGTTGTTCCGACCAGTCCGACTATTCAACGATACACCTCTTTCGAGGTCGATTAGGACTCGTTAATTTCGAGTTAAACTAAAAAATCTTTTCGATTCGCAAACTGCACGTGTATTGAAAAATTATCGCGTAGGCTCTAAGAGTGTGCGGTATGAAGAGACCGAAGGGGGCGGTGTCGAATTCGGGTCGTTAGTAGTTTTACGTGTCGCGTAGTTATCATCAAAACTCTATGCGATATTTTGACGGCGGCAACACCGACCGAATCGACTTAAGATTACACCGAAAATAGTAAAAACAATTTTAATTGTCATTGTAAAAATATATTACCTATTCGGCTATTAAAGCCGCCCCGATTTCTGTTAAAAAGAAGACTGCCGAACGCTCAACTCTATTTTAATTAAATCGTTAGCCGATTCGAACGAGTAAACCGTCGCGATTAAGACGTCTTTACATTTGTTTAAATTTATTTTATATATTTTCGAAAGTCCAAGACTGATTTATTACGTTTGCTCAATAGTAGTATTGTTAAATATCTAGACTCGCCCGTGATCGTCGAGGCAGCACAATGTATGAACAACGAGTAGCCCGTTTACAAAACCGATTACGTTTCAAAAAATTAATATCGGTATTTTTATTTTTAAGTTTTATGATAACGTTTTGGTTTATTTTGTCTTGAAATAAATTTCCATAACCCATTTTTTACCTGATAAACATATACTTTATGTGTAGGCCCATTCCCAAAAGTTATTGTCTGCAGTAATTGCCATGAGGCATGTAATATTGGACCGTTTGTCAAATAAAAACGTATTATCAACATAACGGGTTTCACATAGGTATTACATATTGTATTTTAATATTAAAGTCGGAAACGATTATTTCTCATTTTATTAAACGAAAATGCTAATTTATTATTGTAAAATTAGAAGTACAAAATTTATTTTATGAATAAAATCGTGTTTTTTTTTTACTCCAGAAATAATCTACTCGAATCAAAAACTTTTCGTTTACTCACGTTCGAGTGCCTTATTAATTTTTCATTTTAAACGTGGTTGGAAAACTGATTTAACAAAAAAACAATTGCAATTTGTAGGTAAAGGCCGTTTGTTTTGGACATTTTATTAAACGGGTTTTTTCATATTTACCCAAAATTTCAAAAAAAGTTGACTTTTATAGTTAATTGTACATAGGCTATTCGATACACAAAATACAAACACCAGCCGAACAATGGCCATTTCACATTAGCAAGTGATATATTATTATTTATTATATTTAATTATTATATATTAATTATATAAAGTAATTTATTATATTATTTAGTTTTCAGTTTTCACAAACGTATAGAACCTATTGGTATCGTCACTGTCCGTGTATTTTAAATCCAGTGCCGCGGAAACGTGTGGAGCCCATATCTACCTACTTTCAGATAACATAGTTTTAAACGACGCGCCACAATCTACGGGGTTTTTTCTTTTTTTTTTTTTTAATAACGCGTCCATCCCTCCCGTCGGACAAACCGGATAGAAAATAATAATTCCTTTACACACCGCGTTCTACAACCTAACAAACTCATATCGACTATAACGCGGCCGCCGCCGCCGACTACTTCCCGCGCGCGCCAAAAATACATTTCACACTATGCCTAACGCTATACCGACCCGTTCATCGTCTACCGCCACCGCCGTGTCTACCGCCTATTCTTTTACCCGCTTTTTTTTTTTAAATATAAATAATACTTCAATAAAAACGGTCGTTGGGAATTTTCAACATTAATCTAAAAATGTAAGTAACAACATTCTCGGGGGATACCCACGACCGTCGATAATAATAAAACTATTGAGTACAAAACTGTTGTATCAATTTTATCAACAGCGCGGCGCCCGCTGTAAGGTCGATAGAGAAATAATTTTAACGCATGTAGTGGCCCTGAAAAGGGCCGTTTTAAAGAGGATTTGTAGAGGAGTATTGAGACGATTAAGCACGTTCTCCGCGAATACGGCGAGCCAACTGGATGTCCTTGGGCATGATGGTAACACGCTTGGCGTGGATAGCGCACAAGTTGGTGTCTTCGAACAGACCGACCAAGTACGCTTCGCTGGCTTCTTGCAGAGCCATGACGGCCGAGCTCTGGAAACGCAAGTCGGTCTTGAAGTCTTGGGCGATCTCACGGACCAAACGTTGGAACGGCAATTTGCGGATCAACAGCTCGGTGCTCTTCTGGTAACGACGGATTTCACGGAGAGCCACGGTACCGGGACGGTAACGATGGGGTTTCTTCACTCCTCCGGTCGCCGGTGCGCTCTTGCGGGCGGCTTTGGTGGCCAACTGCTTCCTGGGAGCCTTGCCTCCGGTAGATTTGCGGGCGGTTTGCTTGGTACGGGCCATGTCGGTAGTTCGTAGACTGTCTGTGAAAACTCGAAACGGTCGAATATGTCTCCGCACACCGAATGAGCTCGTATATATACAAATTCGGATCGTAGGCGCGAGTTCTCATTGGTCGACGGAACGGCCTGCCGGAATAGAGGGAGATCTCGCGATACCGCGCCGTGATTGGTCCGCGCGACGGCCCGATCATATAAATACGGCGCGAAAACGTTGTCCGGGCATCATTCGATTTGTTTCTTCAGTCTACCGCAGCTCTCCGAACGACAATCAGCAACAATGACCGGACGCGGCAAAGGAGGAAAAGGTTTGGGAAAAGGAGGCGCCAAACGTCATCGTAAAGTGCTCCGGGACAACATCCAAGGAATCACCAAGCCGGCCATTCGTCGGTTAGCCCGCCGCGGTGGTGTCAAACGTATCTCCGGCCTGATCTACGAAGAGACCCGCGGAGTGTTGAAGGTGTTCCTGGAAAACGTAATCCGCGACGCCGTCACCTACACCGAGCACGCCAAGAGGAAGACCGTCACCGCCATGGACGTGGTCTACGCTCTGAAACGCCAAGGCCGCACTCTATACGGATTCGGAGGTTAATTCCCGACGACCGTTCGCTTTGCACCCTACCTACTGTTCTTTAAAACGGCCCTTTTCAGGGCCACCATTTTATATTATTACAATTATTCATTAACGTTTATGTCATTTAATGCATTTCGCAGTCGGCTACATGAGTACGTTAGTGTATAATATTATGTGTCACGTGTTTGGATGCGCAAAATAGTTGATATTATGAAGTATACCGTATAAACTAACAAAACGTTATAGCGTATTGCCATTATAATAATACAAATACACACGAGTAGTTTTAACGGTATACATTTGTAATTGTTCAAATTAATATTTTTTATAGTACATACAGACTATTATGTTCTCTGTAACATACATGCTAGTTGACATAAAAAATATAACAAACTAAATGTATAATATAATATAAAAAATATAACATACTAATTGAATATTTGTGTGTTTTACAATTAGTAGAATCGCACGTGGGTAATATACGATTTTTATAACTATAGCCCATTGGTAAAATAGACATATAGTACTAATTTATTGTCACAATAATATAATATTGTAAGTAATTGATCTAAATCTATAATATCTATTAATATCGATGACAATATTATTGAAGAGACAATATTTCGATATTAACCAATGATGTTATCATTGTAGTGCCGGCCGATGTTGTAGCTAAATAGCAAAATACAATTGTCTTTTTTTTTTTAGTCAAGTGTCATTAAATCACTGTTGTTGTCACATATGTATACGTTGGTATTTCAAGCTCATACTAGTAATCATATTTGTTTTGCTCTACTAGAAGCATACTGGAATGTTGGAAAAAATAAAAAATTATCTATGTATATTATACTTAAATATTATTTCCAATTCGAGTTATAGTCATATTTTATAAAATGTTATTGACCTAAATTAATAACTAAAGTAGATTTGCTGAAATTCTAAGTTATAATTGTTTAAATATACCTATATTTTCTAAGGCACGACAAAATAATGTAACGATATTTTTCGCTCGACATAGCACATCATTTTATACCGAAAACACAACAAGAGTGTTGCAATAATAGTTAATATTTGGTGGCCCTGAAAAGGGCCGTTTTAATATGTATAAATACGGCGACGACGTTCTTAAGCTTTCTTCTCGGTCTTCTTGGGCAAAAGGACGGCCTGGATGTTGGGCAGCACACCACCTTGGGCGATGGTGACGCCGGACAACAGTTTGTTCAACTCCTCGTCGTTCCTGATGGCCAACTGTAAATGTCTGGGGATGATACGGGTCTTCTTGTTGTCACGGGCGGCGTTACCGGCCAACTCCAACACTTCAGCGGCCAAGTACTCCATGACGGCGGCCAGGTACACGGGAGCGCCGGCACCGACGCGCTCGGCGTAGTTGCCCTTCCTCAACAGACGATGGATACGACCGACCGGGAACTGGAGTCCGGCACGGGACGACCGGGTCTTCGATTTGCCGCTCTTTGCTTTTCCTCCTTTGCCGCGTCCGCTCATGATGCTCGATTGTAGATTGTCGTGTAGTGAGACGAGAGAAAATCCAGACGATACTGATGATCGGAACAGGCCAAAATCGGTATTTATACACTTTTAAGACGTAAATGCGTCTGTATGTTGGCCTACGTTTGAAAATAACGACGACGAAAAACCACACTTTGTAGATATAAACGTTCAATGCAAAGTGTTGTTTATACTCGTCGTGTTTTTCTTTGATGCTTAGACGTTGACGATGAAAACACGGCACATTGTAGGGTTCGCTTTTAAACACAAAGTGTTAATCTTACTCGTCGT